CTCTCTAAATGATGAAAATATTTAAGGCCTTAAGTTTTCCTGTAGCCTTCACTGTGTTCCATTGGTTGCATACAATGTGTTTATATTTTTTATTGCTTTCTAAATAATTTGTAATTTTAATTTTGGTTTCTTCTGTAATACAAGGATTATCTAAGAATATGTTTTAAGGGGTTTTTTTGGTCTCTTTTTTTAGAAATTCTTTTTTTTCTTTTTCTTTTTTTAAATTTTTTGATTAAAGAATGTGATCTATATAATCTCTCTTTTTAAAAGTTTCTTAAGGTTGGCATTGTGTATGTGTGTAGGTGCAAGTGTAAGAGTGATTTTTGTAAATGTTTTATGGCTAATGAAAAATCTTTATCTTCTATCTGCTTACTTACCTTGGTCCATTACATTTGCACAACTTGAAAACAGTCATATTAGTTTTTTTTTCTATATTTATATTTTAACTAATTGTATACATATAATAACTACAAGTTCATCTTGCAATTTTAATAGCATTTGCTTCCTTTCCTTACCTACTATGTAACTTGGTGCAAAAAAGGTTTATGAGTATTTTCCAGTCTTCACAAATTGTGTTTTATACTATTGTATAATAATATTTCTATTAATTCTGTTTAGTGCTTTTAAACTACTTATCCTGTTCAGTACTTTTAAATTCCATCTTGTCTGTTATTAATATTGCCATTCTTGAATTTGTATTTCTTTGTTTTGTGCCTGATTTCTTTTTGCCTGTTTCTTTATTTTTCCAAATAATATGTAACTTTTATAAACCTAATTTAACTGACTAGCTGAAATAATTCAGTCTACTGTCATTAATTTCATAATTAATATACTTAAATTTATTCCTGCCATCTTATTAAAATTTCTTATTTTGTTACCTTTTTTTAATTTTTTTTACTTGATCAAAAGGCTATTAATTTCTCCTTTTTTTCTGTACTTTTTATTTCATTAACATCTACATTCATCACCAGTGCATAGCCCTATTATTCCATGAGGTAAATTACCAAATATTTCTCCTCCAAACCCTTCCTTCTCCTACTTCCCCCCACACCCACTTTTAACAGTGAGACCCCTGGGATCCCTTTGCTGCCCTACTCTCTGCGCCTGCACCCATCAGAGAAGACCTGGGGAGCATTTTTGATTTCCTCCTACCCTCCCCCAACCTTTAGACTATTTGAATTCCTGTTGCAGTGTGTCTCTTTTACTTTAAGAGTCTTTCATTAGCCCTTACACTGCATATTCTCAGATGGGCTATCATTATTTATTTTTATTTGACTTTGTGGATGTCGCCAGTGCTGTTGCTCACCACTGTTTTTCTCCTCTTTGTCTTCCCTCATCTTGAACACGCTCTGCGAGTTCATTTGGTTCTGTTGTAACTTCATCCCTGCTTAGGCAACTCCCACAGGTGAGGTGTGTGGTGATAGCCCAGCCAGTTGTAGGTCTCTGCAGCCTCTTAAGAGTCCATGAGTGTTACTTCATTGCCTTCTACCTTTTGAGCGTTCAGTCAGTGCCAGTCTAATTCTTTCTTCTTTCTAAGCAACTTGCTGTCTCTTTACAGAAGACTTGAACATGTTTTCTTTATCTCAGAGCTCAAGAATTGTATTAACATATGTCCATGTGGTATCTTTGCTCATCAAGTATACATGAAACAGCCCTTAAAATGTGTAGATTCAGATCTTTCTAAAAACCAGGATAAGATTCTTTTATAAACAGTAGTTTCTTTTTCTCATTATTGTTCTCCCCTCACCTTCCTTTTCTTTTTCTGAATCTCCTTTTATTTACAGGTTAGATGTTCTGGGTCTTTCCTCCACACTTTCATAACTTCTCTCTCTTTTCAGTTTTTAAAATTCTCCTACTAGATCGTGAACCCTACCAGTTCTGATTTCAATGTTCATTATCCTCTCCTCCATCTACTAAATATTTTAACTTAAAATCTTTTGTCTAGTTCCAGGAAGTTTTTTCTTAATGTTCTACTTCTACCTCTTCAAATACTATTCTTCTGCTTCCCCTGACAGTTCCGTATTGATATACTGTTCTGATTTCTCTCTTCATTCATGCTTTCTCTGGCTATTATACCTCCTTATTAGATGTCCTTTTATTTTCCTTTGTTCATTGTGGCGCAGGTCCAACTGGTGGATACTTCAAGTGGACTGGTCCTATGAAGGTGGGAGGGCACAGACATCTCAGTCATCATGGCCCAAAATATGCAAGTTGCCAGTTACCCATTGAGACACCAGGAGGTAGCCTTTCTTCTGCATTAGGATAGAGAAAACTCAGGTACACCCAGGATCCTGTGATCATTGAAGGACAGCCCTACCAAAGAGCTCCTACATGCTGGTCCTTGCCTTAGACTTTTCTTGCTGTGGCCCCACAGCTTTGTTCAGCACAGAGCAAGAAAGTACAACTATCTAGTTCACACCCTCTACCTGAATACCAGTCCTGATATCTGCTTGACTTAAGAAAAAAGGATGTGTTTGACCTAAGTTAGAAGTGGAGAGGAAGCAGAGCACAATTAAGTCATCATCTTTCCAGAATCCCCTGGGAATAAAATAATAAACATGAAAATGATACATTCCCTGTCCTAATGTTGCTTGTAGGCTAGTTGGAAAGATAGACAATAAATAAATAAATAAATAAACAAATAAATAAATAAATAAATAAATAAAATAACTCCTATAATTCTGAACTCACAACTGTAATTAATATATGAAGGAAAGGTGAATAGAAATATGATCTGAGATTCCAAGAAAGAAAAAGCATTAACTGTGCAAGGAGGGAAGAAAAAAAGAACTACAGGCAGAGAGCAGTGTATTCAAAGACCTTGGGAGTAGGCATGGCACATTTGAGGAAGCCAAAGACAGTCAGCGTGGCTGGAGCAGAAAAAGCAAAGGAGAGCAGAGTGTGAAAAGAAGCTGGAGAGGAAGGTAACAGTAAGGGGCCAGACTGCAGGGTTTTATAGGCCATGATAGAGTATAGTCCTTCCCTAAAAGCAGGTGACTAATGGAGCGTTTTACTCCATGGGTAAAAATATCTGATTCACATTTTCAGGGGATCACGAGGATTCAGTGTGGAGAGCACTCCACACTGTTTTGTTTTTGAGAGAGAAAAGGAGAGACAGAGCACAAGTGGGAGAGGGACAGCGAGGGGGGAGACACAGAATCCGAAGCAGGCTCCAGGCTCTGAGCTGTCAGCACAGAGCCCGACTCAGGGCTTGAACCCGCGAACTGTGAGATCATGACCTGAGCTAAAGTCTGACACTTAAACTTAACCGACTGAGCCCCCTCAGGCGCCCCAAGTGTGGAGAGCAAATTTAAAGGAGCCATGTGAGGAGGCTACTGTAATGTTTGAGGGAGGGTGGCAGTGAGATGGTGGTCAGCGTACAGGAAGTACACTTTTAGGTGGTTTATGAAAGAGGGTATAAGAGTGTGGAAGGTAGGGAAGTCAAGTTAAAATCACCAATTCAGTCATTCATGTCAATGTGCCCTTGAGATACTCATGTGGAGGAGTCAGTAAACACTGTGAATCTAGGGCAGTCCTGGGCAAAAGAGATAAATTTGTTAGCTATCTGAGTTTCAGTATAAACTAAGGCTCTTAGGCATAAGTGAGAATACCTTGGGATAGAATAAGAAGATAAAAAGACTTTAAATTTTTGTATACCACTAATATCCATGTAAATTGGATGATCTCTGCTGGAAAGGTAATTGATAATGCATATGAGTATCTTAAAAAATGACTGTAATTTTGTTTTTTTTTTTTTAATTTTTTTTTTCAACGTTTATTTATTTTTGGGACAGAGAGAGACAGAGCATGAACGGGCGAGGGGCAGAGAGAGAGGGAGACACAGAATTGGAAACAGGCTCCAGGCTCTGAGCCATCAGCCCAGAGCCCGACACGGGGCTCGAACTCACGGACCGCGAGATCGTGACCTGGCTGAAGTCGGACGCTTAACCGACTGCGCCACCCAGGCGCCCCAAAAAATGACTGTAATTTTGATCCTGTAACTTTTTTATAGGAATCCATCCTCAGAAAATAATATTAGTAGATGTGAAAGGCTTATGGATAAAAATACTCACTTAAGCATTATTTATGATTATAAAAAAAGAAATTACTTAATTATCTAATATTTAAAGAGGTTAAGTAGATTATCATACATTTATATTAATGAATATTATACCATTCTAATTTGATGTTTATGAAGATGTAATGGCATAAGTAAATGGCCATAATGTAATAATAGTAATAAAGACACAAAATTGAGAGAGAGAAAGGGAAACAGAAGTGGGTAGAGGAGACCTCAACTGTGTGAAACATTGATAGAACAAGAGTATAAAGAAATGTTTATCTATCAACAGTGGAAAATGGATGATTGTCACCATTTTTAGACTTTTATCTAGTTTCCAAATCTTTCTAAATGGGCATGTATTTCATCTTATGTATCCTTTTATTGTTAGGAAAAGAAAGAAAATTACAGGATTGTCCCAGTTGTAAATATGCACTTTATAGGCATTTCACTCTGTTAAATACTGGTTGATGTTTTGTTTTTTCTTTTCACAGTATCGATGAGCCTTTCTGTTTTGAATCGAATTTAGTGTTTTAAGTTTGTAAGATTATTGCCATACCTTTTACAGTTTTATGAGCCATTTAGACTTATAAAATAGTTTCAGAAAATCGATTAATCACTAGGCAACAGCAAATCCATTCCCCTGGAACACCTCTCACTTGGCATCCAGTGTGTCATATTGAGAGCATTTGCGTTTCCTTCACTGCTTATTGCTTAGCAGTACAAGGGGCTCTGAATTCCTTAAAGTTTAAAAAGGATTATATAATAATATAGGAATGTGCTAATTATTTTAAATATAGTGAATTGCTTTTGTTTTCCTCCAGTGACTGTCAGAGAAGTATCCACGTGGACTGTCATTTGTATCATCGTTGTCTGCAGCGATATAAAATCATTTTGAATTTGGTTCAGAACTGAAAGTATGATTTTTTTTTAATTCCAGGAATGTATACAAAGACTATCGCTTCCTTGAGCTGGCATGTGACTCACAGGAGGATGTGGACAGCTGGAAGGCATCTCTACTAAGAGCTGGGGTTTATCCTGATAAATCTTTAGTAAGTTGCATATAACTATTATTTTACAATTATTAACCATGTTTAAGAAGACATAATTCTACATACTATATACTGGAGAAACTAGTTCTCTTTTGACTTAATTCGCTTCATATTTCTTTTTCTCCCTTCGGTTCTATTTTAAGAAGTTTATCAATATACTTGTTAGAGAAAATGTCCTACTCTGCCATAAAACATAATATATCCAATCTCAGACACAGAGAGAGTTTCTCTGTTTTAATTTAAAATTTTATTTTCCTTATATGGCTTTTTTATGGTTTTCCACAGTTGTCCCAGTAGTCATATAGTGGATTATAACATTCTTCATATAGCCATGGCATATATATCATGTCATAACACTATTTCATAGCCTTAAAAATATACTTATTTTTATAAAATTCCTTTCACTATGTCTGTAGTACCTGAATCCAAAATTATATCTGCATTCAAATTCTGATTAATGGCGTTTGGAGTGTGAAAGAAGAAAAACATTCTATCGCAATTCCTACTTATCTTTATAAATACACTTCAAGTATTTGAAGTCACTTCTCTCGTTCAAGTTAATAAACAGACTTTGTTTGGAAAACGTCTGGATTTAAATTTCAAAAGTCCCACCCAACATATGTACACACACCATTAAGCAGACTCTGCGAATGAGTGGCTCTCACTGCTTACTCACTGTTCCCCTTGAGATGCTGCACTATCCAGGTGTCTGCTCAGAACAAAAGTTCAGAGACTCAGCCTTGGGGATTTAGTCCAGCTTGACCTTTTGGTGCTTACTTGGCTCTAGATCAGTTTATAGGACAAGTCAGGTCATTTCTAGGCCCCAAATACGAAGAGTCTTCTCAGGAGAGCCTGAAATATGGGCACCGGTGGCGGGGGGGGGGGGGGGGGGGGGGGGGGCGGAAATGAGGCGTCTCTAGGGGAACTTTAGACTTGACCACATCCCTGAGGTTGCATTGGAATTTAACCAAGTTCCAGAGGTAAGTCATTGAGGATTTATGCCAAAATGTTCTTCTCATTGATGTTATTTAGCTCACACATAGACCTCTTAACCCTATCCCAACCTACCTTTGTCTGGTTAGCACCTAAAACAATGACCCCTCCCCCACAATAACCCTATGCTCTCCCATGTGAAGTGCAACAAGCCCCTTTCCTAGTGATATCCAAGTACAGAGGTGTCTATATGATTTCCATAATTGTCCAAATTTTATCAGTTGTGTACATACATATTTACATAGCTATATGCTACTCTAAAAACTGCACATGAGAAATCATTTGTAAAATCAGAGTACCACTTCTACTTTTGTTGTTAATTCTGATCATTTCTTATTACTCTTCCCTATCCATTGATGGTAGTGTGTTCAATTTCACAAACATTCTGTATTAAAAATGGACATATACTTAATTTTTAATTCATTCATTCCACAAAAGCGTATTGAGCACACGCTTTTTGCCAGGCACCACTCTAGGCAGTAGGGCAACAGAGGTGAACAGTAAGGTCGTACCCCCAAGGAGCAGACATTAAACAAGTGAATGGATAACTGTATAACTATATAGTGGGATTTTAAGAGCACGATACAGTCTGTAAAAAAAATAAAGAATATTAAAGGGACAGACAGTGAGAAAAGGGCAGGCAAGCTTTATTTTAGTAAAGATGATTAGAGAAGGCCCCATGTGAAGAGTTGAGTAAATGAAATGGAAGTCTGAAGAAGAATATTTGTGGAGAGGACTAACAAGTGCAAAGCCAGCTCAGTGTCTTAGAGGAGCAGCAAAAAATCAGTGAGTCCGGAAGATAATGAGGGAGGACAGAAGTGGTTGATAGTTTCCAAGAGAGTGGTCAAGGGCAGATTGTATTGGCCTTGAAGGAAGTGGTGAGCATTTGATTCTATTTTGAGTGAGATGGGAAGCCATTAGAGGGTTTCAAGCCAGTTAGTGACATAAGATTTACATTTTTAAAAGTCTTATAAGGCTGGGTACTATGAGAAGGTGTAGAGCATGTGTGTTCAAGCACAGGCTTTAGGGTCAAACTACCTAGACTGAAATTCCAGAAATTCACATAGAAGCTGTGAGATCTTAGGAAGGTTACCTAGCTTTTTTTAGGTTTCAAAACTCCCATTTCTAAAATGGAAATAGCAAGAGTCCCCTATAGCTTGGTTGACAGGATAAAGTGAGAGAATGCAGGGAAAGCACTGAATATGGTGGACACAAGCAAGCACTCTTTTTTTATTTATAATAATAATGATGGTGGGGCACGTGGGTGGCTCAGTTGGTTAAGTGTTAGACTTTTGAGATTGGGCTCTGTGCTAACAGCATGGAGCCTGCTTGAGATTCTCTCTCTCCCTCTCTCTGCCCCTCCCCCTTCTTAAAATAAATAAATATATATTTATAATAATGATGATGATAATTATCATTTTCATCATAGCCTACTAAGATGAGAGCTAAAACACTGTAAATATTATAATGTAGCCCAGTGAGGTCATAAATAGTTTATGCTATTTTCTATCTACCAAATAATAGAAAATTGGTTATATAAAATATTATATTGGTTATATATTAGTGGTGTGTGTGTGTGTGTGTGTGTGTGTGTCTTCCTACCATGCAATTGTAATGTTTGTGAAAATGTTTTCTTCAGTCATGATTTTGCCAAACTTATCTTAAATATACTAGACAATGTTGGTATTTAAAGAAATTATGCAATACATCTCTTATGAGGGAAAACTGTCTTGGCAAAGCAAAATTACCTATCCCTGGTGAATTGTTTTTATAAATTGGGATTTTCATGTATCCATAGCTCTACAGAAAGAAGACGCTCAATGAAACATTTGCTATTTTTTATCAGAATGCTCAATTTTAAGCAAATCTAGGGTTGTCCCACATGATCTGTTTGATTCTTTTTTTAATATCATTTATGTTTATAAGTACACTTTTGGTCCAGTTGCTTGGATGATCAAGACAAAGGGGTTTTTTACTGTATGCCAAAGACATGACAGGAAATTAAACTTGGCAGTGTGCCATGAACATTGCTTTTCTCAGTTTTCATCATAAACAACATTTGCATTTCTTACGCACCATGTAGTTGTAGAGGTTATATTACACGATTGCTTGACTTTCAGATGTTTAAATGGCAGCTAACTACTGAAAGCAATCTAAGTAGAATGCTTATGTAAACATTCATTTTGTGAACATGCTTAGATTTGGAGGGATGGATACTTTTAGCTACAGTTATTCCTAACTTAGATTTGATGAAAAAGTCAGATTAACCTAGTAACAGATGTCTCTCTGTAAGTAAATTTTTAGGACTTCTGGAGGGTCATTTGGGTTTTGTACCAATAAACCATTGAGTCGACAGCAAATCAATCTCTATTCTAATAATGAAACATTTGTCATACATGGACATAAGTCAAGACTCAAAACTTTCTGCTTTTTATACGAGATTTTTATTGGAAAAAATCTACAAAGATTATTTTTAAAAATTGTGTAATTTCAGCCTCATTTAGATAAACAGCCATCCTCCACATTTTGTTTTTGGATACATTTTTTTTTCCAACTAAGATTGCACACTTTTTTATTACACGCTTTTCCCCATCATATCTTTTCTATCATGTCCACATGAAGAATATTTTTATGTCATTCATATCATAATGTTCTATTACCTGTTTTTTTCTTTTGGAGTTTTCTACAGATTTTTTTTCTTTCTTTCTTCCTCTTCCACTCTCTTCTCTCCCTTCTTCCTTCCCTTCATCCATCACCATTATGGTGGTCTCTAGAAATTCAAATATAAAAAACATGCAGTTCTTACTTTATAAGAGTTTCAAGTCTAGTGGAAATGAGGGATGCAACTAAATAATTACAATGTGGTAGAAACTATAGCGAATATATAAAATGCAACAGCCCATCTATATTCCCATGTGGATTTTCTAATTACCTTTTGCCCCTTAATCGTTCTGGATCCAAAGCAAAATGTAGACTTCTTATTTGAACAGTATAATATGTGACCCTCAATGAGGCATCCTGGATTCAGTTTCCCAATATGACACTGAACTTACACATAACCTCTCTGAGCCACGAATTTAGCATTCTACCAGTCACCTGATCTTTTTGAGAAGCCACAATACTTTAAAGATATATGTAAATCTGAATTTGGGTTTAGCGGAATTTTATTTCTTTAACTTCTATTTCCTTTGGTCATTAAATTGAAATTATAACCACTATAAAATTTTATATTAAATAATTAAATTGTTGTACAATTTCAAATTAAAGATGTTTCTAATGGAATTAGTTAATAGTATTTTGGTTTGGTTTCTTTTTTTTAAACCAATGAAACAGATAAAAAGTGTGTGTATATCAGTATTGTAGGCTACAATTAAAGAACTTTTAAAAGTTATTTTATAGTAAAAATTTATGTGCATGCATCAGTAAGTGTGAATACAAATAAATGGAAATTTGATTAAAATCTAAAGAACAAGGTATAAAAAATGACTGATCTTTTGGCACAGTTTTGTCAGCTAATAGTAGGACTGAAAGTATAAATGACATTAAAGGATTCCAAATTCTTTGGAACATTTTGTGTGCAGTGAAATGAAGTAGATTTTAAGTCAGATCTATCTCATATTTGAATCCCAGTCCTTCTATTTATTAGCCCTGTGGTTCAGGCAAGTTACTTAACTCGTCAGTTGTGTATTCTTTTTTAAACTCAAAATAACGATACCTTCCTCTGCGTGATTTTATAGGATTGAATGAGAACTATTGCATATCACATCTAGCTTGGTGCCTGCAACTGAGTGAATGTGTTCAATGCCACGTAGCCTTTATTATTATTGCTGAAAATCATTAATGGTCCATGAAGCTGCACTCCCCAGTTTAGTAGTTACTTTTTCTTTGCAAAGGATTAGTGGGATTTAGGCAAATGAGGGAGAATTTCCTTACCTGTTGGTTAAGGAAGCAGAGTTGTTGTTGTCCACAGGAGTCATGTTGCCCTGTGGACAGGCTGGCTTAGAAAT